AACATAGTAGGAACAGCATATAAATACTTATTTGGAACATTAGATCAAGAAGACAAAGCAGAAATTGAACAAAAAATAAGCAACTTAGCAGAAAACAGCGTCCAGGTTAACGAATTAAATTACATAATAGAAGCTATAAACAAAGGAATAGAAATCATGAACGAACTAGATCAAGAGAAACAAAAAGGAAAGAAATTAGATATCCTTATATTTAACTTACAACACTTTACAGAATATATAGAAGACATTGAGATGGGAATGCAGCTCACAAGATTAGGAATTTTTAACCCAAAATTACTAAAACATGACTATTTGTTGCATGTTAATTCTGAGAAATTGTTGAATACAAAAACTTCCACTTGGTTTAAATCAGATACAAACGAAATACTTATAATATCCCATATTCCTCGAGAAATAATAAAAAGCCCGGTATTCGAAATAATTCCATACCCGGATGAAAATAATAATATTTTGACAGAAATAGCTCATGAAAAATATTTTACCCAAGATAAAAAAGTTTATAGCAGAGAAACAAAAAAATTAATTAATAATGAATGTTTAACAGGAATTTTAAACCAAATAACATCAGAATGTAGTTATACTAAAATTTTGCAAAATTTTCAAATCAACTACATAGAACCAAATATAATTTTAACTTGGAATTTACCAAAAACTATATTAAACCATAATTGTATAAATAACGAAATAACAATAGAAGGAGACAATATAATAAAAATCTTTAATTGTTCATTGCAAATTAATGAAATTTCAATTTCAAACAATATGTTAGATTATACTCAAAGCATTTACGTAAGCAATGATGTTATAAAATTAGAACCACTTTCGTTTGTACAAACGAAACAAATTATAAATGCACATACAAAATTTAACAATGTATTCCAGATAATTACAATAACCATATTTGTAATCATATTAATAAGTTTAACACTGTATTTGACATATAAGTTCAAAAGCATACCTAAGAAATTAATTATAAAATATAAAAAACCCAAAGTAGAAGAAACACCTACAATAATAGGAGATATACCAATTGTAAAAGAAGAAAATGTTACACTATATCCAAACTTAAACACCTGAGGACAGGCACTTTTCTAATGGTTGGGGGAGTGACATATCCATAGTCGCACCCACCCTTTAACATAACTTAGCACATAAGCATAAGCACAATTATAAACATTTCTAATATTGTAAACAAAGAGCCTGGTGATAACATCGACATTGGTCAAGATCAAACTGTCCCCCTTTGGTAGACATAAACAATTCACCCTAAATATCACGCCACTGTCAATGTTCCCATCAGAGTACTATCCCACGCATAATTGCTGACGCAGCTCAAACTTCACTCAATTTTGACTCAAACTCTCTCAAAGCGAAGTTTGCTAAGCGACCGCAACAGTTAGATAAATCAGTTCATATTCGGGAAGCAAATCTGAATGTACTCAACAAAAGTAGCCGTTAAGTGAAAATAATAAATTGAAATATATTTTTTTATAGTAACCTAACGTGTAAAACTTAATTATATATATATATATATTTTTTAATTGTTTTCCCATTGTGCAAACTTGTGTTTGATTCGGCCTAAAATTGCCCCTAAAGTGCCCCTTGAGGCGCAGCTTGAATCACTCGACTGTCCCTTGAGACAATTACTCAGTGCCTCGCTATCGGAAGACATAACAAATTTGGGCTTATAAGAACGGAAGCAGGCAATAAAAAACCGAAAATAACACAATTAATTACTCATAAAATATTGAGCATGTGAAATCTGCACGGATTGAGGAAATATATTTGTACACTCGCAGAAAACATAAAGCAAGATTTACGCAATCAAAATTGAAGTCAGTTTGTAGTATCTTAAATTGAGCACACGTCTAAATAAATTATTCAATTTAAGATATTTTGTGCTTGTAACAAGTTCTTAGCTTAATTCAAGCTGCGTTTTTCTCAGAGTTTACTTATACTCTTTACTTATAGCCTTAACCTAAAAGCTTAATTTTGGCATAAGATCAACCTGTTTAGCTGTTGCAACGACTTATTATCTTGTAGAGCAGCGCAAATGAAAAACAATATTGAGGCTATGCCTTAATCATATATTTCTTGGAATCAATAAATGTCTAGTAAATGCTCTTTGTCTAACATTAGCAACTCTTGGCATTATCTTATCGGGGTCTATGCGATTTATGCGACACAACACCTCAACTTTTCGATTGTGTTTCTTGTGCGCAGCTGCCTCTCTCTGCGATTCTCGCACTCTCTTATAAGTTGTTTAATTTGCGAACTTCGAATGTAAATTGTATTTAATACACTTTTAGTTGTCAGCTAGCAGTGAGACACAACAACTCAACTATTCGATTGTGTTTCTTGTGAGCTGCTGCCTCTCTCTGCGATTCTCGCACTCTTTTATACAGCCTCTCTCTGCGATTCTCGCACTCTTTTATACAGCGTCTCTCTGCGATTCTTGCACACTCTTATGCTCTCTTATTGCAAACTTCTAGTATGTATGCTATTGCAGTTGATACACTTCTGCTGTCATCCAGCTGACATTATCATCTGACATATCGAGGTGGGGGGAATCCTTCAATTAGCATTCCTTGCAGCAATAAAAGTCACACCCATTCGCATAGATTCGCGTATGAGTCAGAGAACCGGTTGGGAAGTGCTTGTGAATCAATAATGGAACATGCTAAAGCTATGATCGGCATTATAAATCGATCGATGGCGTATCTGGCGTACATCGCATCTGTTTCTGGTACACACACACTTATGTTTATAGATATATACATATATACATATATATATATTTATATGGGCAATCAGAGCAAACGGTTTGTTGAGCCAAAGCAGCAGTTGTTGCATTTATCAGCACACAAAACAAACAATAAATATGCAACACAAAAATTAAACAAATAGATGTGAGAATAAAAACGGGGGAGCTAAACATAAAATATATAGCAGCAATTATTATGGCGCTGCGCGAGTTTGAAAATTGAAAATCCGGAAAATCGTAAAATCGTTCACGAAATTGCGGGCCATAATTCAATTTAATAGCATCATTTATGCGTTTATATTTTCCCCAATGGCTAATTCGATTCGATTTTCACAGACCAACAGCTCGTCCATATTGATTTGCTAGAGCGCCAGATCAAAGGGGTCGAGGGACTTAGAGGGACTTAGAGGCTGATATGAGGGCTGCCTATTTAACTGATTTATCAGCAAAACTCGATTTTGTTTTAGTTTCCTTTTTTTGAATAGAGATATTATTCAAGGTTTTTCCTTGAAATTAATCCGATATTTATTAAAAAACAAACAAAATATATACATTTAATTTGAGTTTAAATTTAAATTTAAATTTTATATAAATTACAAAACTGATAACATTATAAAAGGTCTTCAACTAAAGGTCTTCAACTAAAAACAACCCAGCGAACTATCATATGCTAGAGCTAGCTGTTTTCTCGCTTGAATAAAGTTGGCAGCCCAAACGATTAATTATGCTAATTTTAACAAATACTTAAAATACCGAATTGCCGGGCATTTAATGTCTGTTTGCCCAATGGGCCAATAAATTTGATCATAATGCCAAGGTGCGCACTGCCCACGTTGCTGTCAATGAGGCACACACACGCACACCCTACCCCTGAGTCCGGTTCGCTCAGCTAGGCATAAATGTTTGCTTCGAGCAAATGCAAATATTCGGCGTTCAATGAATTAGGCGAAATTTGTTCACATAATGGCCATAATCATGTTGGTTCCGATAAGATAATGGGGCACAGAGAGAGAGGGAGAGCCGTAGGGGGTCAGGGGTTACGCATTTGTAATGAATTTATTGCGGCACATTAGCCAAAGTCAAGGAGTGGGAGTTATTTTGGCCAATCCAATGGCTGACGCAGTCAACAACATTTGGACAGGATATTGACAGAATGCGGGCACTTAGTATCAATTTAACACGAACTCATAATGTGTGTGTGCGAGTGTGTGTGCGAATGTGTGTGTGTGTGTACGTGTGTGCTTTGCAGATGATTAATGCCCCGCGGCGGCAGCGTCAGGAGTTTCGGCGCAACAGGACGCCCATTGACATTGCGTGTGTCTCTGTTCGTCTCTCCCTCTCTTTCTATCTCCCCCGCTCTCCCTCCCCCCTCTCTGTCTTTATCTGACACACAACATGACCCAGCGGAATTATTGCCCTAATTGCGCCGACTAACTGACGCAATAAATCCACATGTCCTTGTGCCAACCTGTTGTGAAATGTTGATAGCAGAACACGTGGAATGCCACAAGCGAGATTCCTTCAGCTGATGCAAGGATATCGCCTGTGTCTTAAGCACTATGTTAATTAGATCAATTAGAATGCATTGAATGCTAATAGATTTTGGTTGTCAGGTTGCTCTTTTTTGTCAACTCATGCGAATTTCTAGCATATTTTACAATATTTCATCTGCTTTTGCACGGTTGCCAAAACCGCTTTTAGACAGAATTAAGACACGATTAGGCTTGACTTATCCTATAATAGCCATTCACACAAAATTAAGCTTTGAATGCGTTTATAAATGCATATCCGAATCTTTTTTTATACACAAAAAGATGAATTTGCAGCTTTTTTCATATTTTATACTATTTTAAAACTAGCTTTAAGCAACTTTAAATCAGTTAAAGTTCCTTCTTGCCCGCCGAAGATGATATATTATTATAAATGTTTAATACCAATCGAAAAGTATTTTAAAACAACTCTTTATTCATTGCTTCCTGATACAAAAAGCGGTTTTAGAAACTTTGAAACGATCTAATGCAGCAACATTTTGAGCTTTTATATTCTTAAGCCGTGTTTAAACAACTTTTCGATTGAATATTGTATTTTGTGTACTATTTTATAAGCGGCTTAAATGCACAGAAAAAAATGCATGGGTATCTTCTTCACTTTTATACTATTCTCATAGTGGTTTTAGGCAATTCTTTAATCGAATCGATTTCCTCTTCGCCCGCAGAGCACAGAAAAAAATGCAGCAGCATCACAGATCCGGATCGCTTTACTGTGGCGTCACGCTGGTTGGCGTGACACTTTTGGTGCTGCTCCGGCTGATGCCGGGCAGCCCCTTCGGGGTGTACGCGATGGTCGAGGGGGGGCACTATCATGAACGCAATGGCATACACACAAAGTGCAGTTTCTTCGACACGGTCAACTTGACGGGGTATCCGTCGTACCCGAACGGCAGCTACAGCTACGAGGGCGTGCTGATACCCAGCCACTATGTGGGCACCTTCGACTACATCTACAAGGATCTGGTGGATCGTGTGGATGTGGCGCCGCATATGCGTGGCTGCATCTGCAAGCTGAAGCCCTGCATCAACATTTGCTGTCCCTGGGGTCAGATTTACAACAACAGCGAGTGCCAGAAGGACACCAACACGAAGCAAATGTGGCCAGAGCCAACAATCAATATCACACTCAACAATGGATCCGTGCAGAATGTGAACATCTACGAACAGTTCGTGGTGCAAAGCTTCAGGCCCTGCACCGAAATGTTCTCCCTACTGCCGGAGATCAACTACTATGACACCTACCAGCTGTACGAGAATGGCACACTGCTGCGCGAGGATGACATGCACTACATCTACAAGAACGAGTTCTGCCTGGTGCCCACCAATATCAACGACACGGATCTCTACTACACCATTAACCCGGCCAACTGCGACATGTTCAACGAGAACACCACGGTGAAGATCATCAATGGTTTCGGTAAGTGTAGCCAGAGATTTGCCAAAGATTTTTTTCATTTAATTATATCAGGCATTAGAGATCAGTTAATATAATTGGTTCAATACGTGGTTATAAATAAATTGGAATTGGGGTTCAAACCCTGCTTGCAGCTTTGATATACTCTTCTCAACACTGAACATTTTTTCTTTATTTTCCCAAACACTCAGCTATGCTGTTCTCCATACCCTTCATGCTGCTGACCATTGCCGTATATCTGCTGATTCCGGAGCTGCGCAATCAGCATGGCAAGTCGCTGGTCTGCTACCTGCTGGGCCTGACCATTGGCTACTCGCTGCTGTGCTGCCTGCTGCTGATGCACGACATGAATCCGTTTGGGCTGTCCTGCAAGCTGCTTGGCTATACGGCGTACTTCTTCTTCATGTCCGCCTTCTTTTGGCTGAATGTGATCAGCTTTGATTTGTGGCACAATTTCCGTGGCACACGCGGCATCAATCGGTTCCAGGAGAAGAAACGCTTTTTGCTCTACTCGCTGTACTCGTGGGGCTTGGCTTTGGTCTTTCTCGTGTTCACGGTGCTCGTGCAGGAGTATTTTGACTGGCCGGAGGCGCTCAAGCCGGGCATTGGCGCCGGACAGTTCTGCTGGCTGGACATGACCAACTGGTCGGCCATGCTCTACTTCTTCGGACCTATTCTGATCATCATTGTGGCCAATACCGTGATGTTTATGATGACTGCGATCAAGATCCATGGCGTGCAGCGTGAAATGGCGAGGATTATCGCACGCGAGGATAGCACCAAGAATCTGCGCACCGAGAAGGACAAGTAAGAGATAGGTTAGACTCTTAAAAAGTTCCACTCTTATATTCCTGTTTTCAGATTCGGTCTGTTTTTGCGCCTGTTTCTGATCATGGGCGTCACCTGGTCCTCGGAGATCATCTCATACTTTGTGGGCAACGACAAGAAGTGGTCGAAGATCTTCTACGTAACCGATTTGTGCAATGCCATGCAGGGCTTTCTCATCTTTATGCTGTTCGTGCTGAAGAAGAAGGTGAAGCACTTGATAACGAACAGGTATGTCCTTCAGTTAGTTCCACCCAAAAAATTGTACTGTCCCGACTATAAATATAAGTTCATAATTGTGTAAGTCCTTTTTGTTTTGCCCGTTTGCCTGTCTCACGAGTCTGTTCTCAATATGTATTTGACTTGTATCTCACTTGAATTCCCCCCGCACCCGAAACCTTAAATATCAAATACCAAATACCCTTCCAACAATTAGAACGGTCCGTGTGCGCAGTCTGCGACAAACGGAGAGCGTCACAATGGCGGGAAGCAGCTATACGATGCGCCAGCGCTTCATGGATGCCTCCCAACACATTCGCAAGCTGGTTGTCATACGCAATGCGTTTGCCAACACTGCCAGCGGAGTGCACTCGCATGCCGTCTAACAGGACTACAACAACAGCAGCAACAACGACAGCCGCAGTCAGTAAGCGGCGCTCTTCCTCTTCGCTGTTTAGTGTTGTGCAACGTGGCCATACTAAACGCTAAGCCAGCTCTTCCTCTTCGCTCTTCAGTGTTGTGCAACGTGACAATACTAAATGCTAATTGATAATAGTAAACGATTTCCCTTAAACTCTTAAAAACTGTCGCTGCATGCATTTGAGTATAAAATCCTTTAGCACAACGTTCTCTGTATGTATTTGCGCAGCTGGTATATATATGTAAAACTATTCTCTTGTATTTTCGTTGTCAGAATGCTTTCCGTAACGCTAACGCTAAAGAACCGCAACAACGACAGCAATAGGCAGCCAGGCTGTAATCCAAACACAAGACACAAGCCCAACACACAAGTCGCAAGCATTAACACTTGAGTGTTGTAAAAGACAGAAAATATACAAAAACAAAAAACATAAACAAATAATATCTACAAATGAAAGCAACTGCTCAGAGGCTAACATACGTCCAAATAACCAGAGCCTAACGAACAAAATCCGTCCATTAATTGTAGCTAATATAACCATGTATAACCCAACTCCAAGCGATCTTTTATGTATATATGTATATACAACCCATATATATATATATAAACATTTATACATATATTATGTACAACAACAAATGTTATCCGTAATTTTCGTTCAACAACACAAAGACTCTTGAAGCAAAAGTCGACCAGCTCGAGTCAATCGAACTCGACCAACTCAACGTCAACGGACATAAATACGCAACAGGAAAAGTTAAGAATGAAGTGCTCCTCGGATCCGGCACGGGGCCAGGCCAACGGCCTGGGCAAGCGGCCGTCAGGTGCTGCCACGACAATAACAAAAACCTAAAAACCAATAAATATACAAAAAATATAAAAGGTAAAAATTAAACGTCGTAAAAGGCTAGCTGCTGCCAAAAATGCCAAAATTGTGATTAACCCACGAACAATTCGAGCCAGTTTCCCTAGCCCTAAAAAGCCGCCCACAAAATATCTAACCCAACTCTCTCGCTAACTATCTAACATATAGATATACATATATAGATATATATAATATACGACAGCTAATCGCATGTAAATCAATTCATTTAGTTTTTTACCACGCCAATAACTCCAGCCCACATTCATTTGCATTTCCAGCTAACACTTCATATTTATCGCCTATCTGGATATACATTAACTATTATCTGTGTTATCTTTGTCAATTTGTTTGCCATTTTCGATTAATCTGTTTTCCGTGTGTTTCACCCTTCCCCTTCCCACCCGTAGGTGCTCGAGCGGGCGCGAGGGCAGCCATCAGCGGCAGAGCCAATATTCCACAAAGACCACGTCCAGCAGCGTCGCCAATCTCTCCATGCACGAGAAGAGCTCCTCGGAGAAGCCGCTCGTCTCCACGCTGGATCAACAACAACAACAACAACAGCAACAACGCACAACCAGCTTCCGCTGAACTTACAGTGGCGCACGAAAGTCGCGCACCAGTTGCGTTTTTTTTTTTGGCAGGTCTAGTCCTTGGCTGACGTCCTTGCGTCGTGCTTATCGCATCGAATAGCTGGGCGCCCAGTGCCTTCCCCTACCCTCTCCCCCTACCTACGCCCCTTGCGCTCACCGCCCAGCAGCCATACTTATTATTATATATCGTAGCATTAAAAAAAAGACACTATATCTATATTATATATGTATATTTAACCCATATAACATCCATATCTGCCTGTAAATGTCTTGTGATCCATATCCAACACGATTATCTTTTTATACATATATCAGCATATATATATACGTATATGCCTATATGTTGATCTGATATCTGATTAGTCATGTAAGCGTTGTCATATCTGCTCTTTAACTGAAATTATTTTTATGATGCCCGAGCTTCTGATCTGCTCAGAGCTCCCTTTTTTACACAAAAAAAAAAATGGTTAAAGAAAAGCCACAAAATGCGCATTCATAAAACTCGAGAATCGTTAAACGCATACTCACGCACATTATATATATGTATGTATGTATGTACGTTAAAGAAAATACTATTTTATGTCGAGTTTATTATAAAAATAAAATGTAAAGCCAAAGAAATCAAACACTTGAGAATTGCATACAATATATGCCAAGTGCAGCTAACGGTAACTCAACTACACTTATAGAAAATAAGCACAAACTAAATAAATTTAAATGCCATAAAACTGTTCCCAGCATTTGAAAAGTTCGCCTTGATTGTTACCATTAAGCATGGACAACAACCTGCAAACGTCATTTGATGGGAACAGTATATAAACAATCTTTTTTGACATGCACTGGCAAGTCTTCCTTTTAATAAAATATTTGTGAAATAATATATACGATTGCGTATTGCACTTTGCAATATATGAGAGTTCAATTATTGTAACAAATGCAGTCCTACACTTGCTCTGTTCCCATTGTAAAGAAGCTGTTTGCCTTACAAATAATTGCTCCTTTAAATTTGTTAGCAAAGACAACCACCTGCTTGCGTGCGTTTGCTGAATGTAAAATCATGTATGCAAACCTGCTTAATAGCAATTGGAACACTAAATAAAGCAGCATTTTCTTTGGTTCGACTATAACTATTTCTTTATGACAACTATTTTGTAAATACTATAACAATTAACACTTAAAATAGTGTCTAAGTTAACTAAATTCAATTGCTTCCAGCACTCACTCTCAAGTAGTTCTCAAGCAGTTCTCAAGTACTACTACAAACCGTTCCCAGCGCAGTTAAATTATGTTAAGGCGTGCGCACCATTAACTGTACCCACTGTTAAGCTACGCTAGACAAAGTCAACAACCTGGCGCTGAATGTTAACATAAAAGCTCAACGCTGCGCACACAACTTAAACTTTATTTAAAAGCCAGCTGTTGTTGTTGTTGTCGCCGTTTGTTTTTGGCTTTGTTGTTGCTGTGCTTAGACTACCAACAAAATGAATTTTGAATGAGCCTCGCGTCGACTGAGATTCCGCACCAAAGCAAACACACATACACACAGAGACACGCACACGTACACATACACAGACAATCGAATCGACTGTGGGCCCTCTGCAGCTGTGGCTGTGCTTGGGCTCTGCTGGCTGGCTGACTGGCTGGCTGACTGGCTGGCTAATCGGTTAGTCTGTTTTTTATTCTTGGCCCGGCATGGTGCGTTGACGTTTCTGCCGCGGTTTGCCGGTTTCGTTAAGCGAGAAAGTCAACAGCAACAAAAATCAACGCATCAAAAAGTTCGCTGCACTCCTCAAGCTCCTGTCCCCCCTCTCTCGCGCGTTCACATCGTTCCATTATTGTCGTTGTTGTCGCAATCATATAGCCGTTTTTAGCCGTCGCTGTCGCCGTCGCCGTCAGCGTCGACGTCAGCGTCTGCGTCAGCTTTGTCGCTGTCCGTTTTGATTGTTGTGTGGTGTGTTTATTTGTGTTGCTGTGTGTGTGTGTGTGCGTGTGTGTGTGTGTGTCTACGCGCGTATAAAAGCCCAAAACTGAGCATCAGCGACAGATATTTTATATCGAAACGATCGCATTTATTTATTTATTTAATTCTCGCGCTGCGTCGACGCCGCTGTCGCTGTCGCTGCCGCTGCCCGCGCAGCCGACGCTGTGACGTCACGCGCACAACATAAAGATTTGAGCCGAAAAGAATTACCACACCTCAGGCAATGCGAATACAGTGAAAACTCTGCAAGAAGAACTAACAAAATTGCAAAGGCTCTTAGTAAAATAAATAGTTACATTTTTAAACTGTGATTTATTTGCTTGATGGACAGTTCGCTTTTTTTTATAAATTATAAATTGTCGTATCTTGTTAATTATCAAAAAATAATTGAAAAAACGAATGTTTGTTCGTAATGATAGCCCACTCTAAAACATGAAATCTAGCTGCGTATATCTGAAAAGACAGGTTTGATAAGAAAATTGTGAGAATAAGCGAGCTGCACACTTTGTCTTTTGCTAGGTTATGTTGTAAACATATTATAAATAACGGTGTAATAGAAGCTTGCTGCGAAATGTAACTGCACAAAAAGCTCAGCTTTATCTGGTGCTTGTCGCTTGAGCTCTTGTGCAGTTATATTTCTAACTGTAGCTTTTATTTAAGCAGCTGCGTCAATTCGCCTTAAAGAGCTTTCACTGTAGCAGCTCTTTTGCAAGACGCAGCGTGTTTAATTGAGGAATTAGCGCAAGATCGGGCAAAATGTGGGCGGTGCTCGTGTGGTTCGCCGTAATTGGAACAACAACAACAACAACTGCGACTACAACAACAACGTCTGCCCCCGCGAAAGGGGGGTTTCCGTGCGCCTATGCGGACACGGTTAACATAACGGACGGTCTGCGACTGAAGGATGGCTCCTACTCGTACGCGGGCGTCCTGGTGCCGCCGGAGCTGGTGGCCGAATATAGCTTCAAGGTCATTGACGGCGTGGAGTACCGTGCGCCGAAGCATCTGAGGGGATGTGTTTGCCAGCTGAAGCCGTGCATTACGTTCTGCTGTCCGCCGGATTTGGTGTTCAATGCGCAGAGCTGGAACTGCACGAAGCCGGCGCAGGCGCGTCAGATTAGCCACGTTGAGCTGAGCTATAGCAACCGGAGCGTGGCCCAGGTGAAGATCCTGGAGCACTTTGTGGTGCGCACCGAGCTGGGCTGCCGGAACAAGTTCGTGGACACCAAGCACGACACCTTCTGGCAGTGGGATCTGCAGGCGAACGGCAGCCTGCTGCGCGACGGACGCCTGTGGAGCACGGACGAGTACTGCTTCACGCCGCTGGAGCACAACAAGGCCTGGGAGCTGACGCCGCTCAACTGCGAGCGCTTCCAGCGCGGCTATCGCGTCTGGATCTATGCCATATGTGAGCGGTTGCCGCTGGAGGAGGCTCTTCAATTCCATGCTAATCACGTCTCTTGCAGGCAGCATCATCGCCATACTCATCAACATATTCATACTCTCCCTGCTGAGCTCCATCAACGAGGCACGGCGCAGTCATTACGGCCAGCTGATCATCTACTATCTGCTCTCGGCCATTGCCGGCTACTCGCTCCTGGTCTACCTGACCCTGAAGAATCCCATGAATCTGTCCCACGAGGCCTGCCGCAACATAGGTTAGTCCTCTCGTGATCTAAACCCAACTCTTGTACTTAATTGTGTTCCTTTTCCCCGCAGGTTTCTTGACCTACTTCTGCATCATGTTGTCCTTCGTCTATTTGGCCATGTTGAGTCTGGACTTTTTGCTCAAGTTCCGCCTGAAACCCGTCAAGACCTGGCTGCGCACCTTGTGCTTCTTTATAGCCCTCGGCTGTGTCGTCGCGCTGCGTTTTCTGGTCTCCTTCGCGCAGGACTCCGATCTGCCCAAGCACCTGAAGCCGGGCATTGGCGAGGACTACTGCTGGTTCGATGGTGCGTACAATATATCAATATATTATATATCATATTTGTACTCCTTGCAAGTTTTCAATGAATTTTTGTCAGGCTTAAGAAATCCTCGAACAATCCTCGAGAAATTCTGTATGAGTTATCCTTTTTTTATTATAGGAAACCTATAAAGTCTTTCCGTCTGCCTTTAAGCGGACTTTGCTCTCATTTTCCGCCTTCTAGTTGCATCTTTTTGCTAGGAATAAATATATCATATATTATATAGCTCTCATGGGCTTTATCGGACTGAATTTTTATATCAACAACCTTTTTCCATGAGGACAGCTTGGTCCAGAGTTGAATACCTTTGCTTGTTTTTATAGAAATGTTAAGGACACTTTTCAACATCGGACTTCTATATAATGTAGCCCCTATCTCAACGATCGATAGAAATTTGAATTCAAATAGTTGCCGAAGGAATATTCGTTCATAAATAAGATATTTCAAGAGATAGTTAGCTAGTTTCCCAAGATATGTTTTCCTATAACTCAGCAGTTAAAAGGTAGATTCCATATAAAATAAGAGCGAATTTATAATAGGTTCCATATGATCCATTCGATATTTACCGAGATCAGAGCAAATCAAACCCTTTCAACATTGTCACTTTGCCGAGTCCAACTCTTGTAACTAATTTTCCTCGAATTGCCTTTCAGTGCGCTTGTGGGGCATCCTGATCTATTATTATGTGCCCATTGTCCTGCTGCTGATCTTCAGCATCTGCTGCTGCCTGAAGGCCTACTTTGCCATCTTTGAGCTACCGGCGGATACGCAATATGTGCTCGGCACCGAGCTGCGGATCATGAAGACTCAGTAGGTAGCCCCCCCTCCGGTAGGCCCAACTGCAGGCTTAACTAATTTGGATGCTTTTCCTTCAACCGTTAGCTTCTACGCCTTCTCCGTGTATTTGGTGGGCGTGTTCTCCGTTTGGGTGCGCGAAATGATCGTCTATATACTGGCCCGGGTGCGGGAGCACTTCTTCATCATCGATTTCTGGAGCGGCATTTGCATCTTGGTGCTGGCCGTGGCCGGGTTCATTTTGCTGCTGGGCAAGAATATGCACGTCAAGACCTGGTGGTCCATCAATGTGTAAGTATAGAATCAAGATTCCAGTATTATCTGATTGATAAGCTCCGTTTTATTCGCAGCGAATCGAGTCAGACAGATCTGAGCATTATAAACGCACGTGTCTACAAATTCGACGAGAAGGGCGATCTTAAGAATCCAGGTGAGTAGCTGCCCGCCAGGTGTTTCTCTCTTTCTATATATATGGCTAATTATTTTTATATATGGTTAATTATTCACTCGTGCCTATATCTGCAGATTCACCTTATAGACCGACGGTGACATCACTTTAACTGGACGCTGGATTCATGATTCACGGCTCGTATTCATGATTCATCAGGGTATTTGCTCAGCTTGGTTATGAGTCATTTGAATCAATGATAGCAAATAATATTACGCATTAAGCATTATTAAGACTTGTTATACTTACTTACAATTAACGATTAAATATCGGTTTTTATTCTCGAAATTGTGCGAAATTGTGCATAAGTTTGTGTTTTTGATCTTAACTCAAACTTTGTTCACGATATTTTGTAAATTTTTATTATTTTCATTTTCTTTATGATTATTATTATAACTATTATTATTAATATTAATATTATTATTATTATTATTATTATTATTATTATTATTATTATTATTATTATTATTATAATTTTTATTATTATTATTATTATTATTATTACCATACATTTTGCTATTATTATCATAGTTATTATTACTATTATTATAATTAATATTCTATATTATATACAGATTTAGGATTCGAGCTCGGATTCTTATTGTCCGATTTAATTACTAGTCCGCCTATAATACAGCTATGATCTGTACGCCATACTTCCGAAAAACACTTCCCGCATATTTGCATTAGTGAGTTTGAACCAGCAATCTGCTTTTTCCGTTACTTGAGGAACTGGACTGGCTCATCAGGCTCAAGGTTTATTTAATTATTATAATTAGTATATAATATCGCTATGAACTAGAAGCCTTCATCTTTCCACTAGCCAGTTTGAACCAGCAACTTCTCTTATGTAACTCCGCTCCGCATTATTCTTATATTTATTATAATAATTTTGTCATATTGTAGCTATAATCTATAAGTATTTCGTTCGAACG